CATAGGGACTGACAGATCAGTAATGACGATCACCTCATGGTAATGGAAGTTAAACGCCATTTCCAGATCCAGGCCAACAAACTCGGTCATATGTCGATGAGTATTAGAGTCTTCCGCGCGGAACACTGCACCAATGGTGAAAACCTGAATGTAAAAACGATCAATGAGCAAAAAATTTCCCAAACAAGACCAACCTTCTCAAAATCTCCAGCAATCGCCATTTGCTTGTAAAGCTGAGGAGATTGTGCAAGGTAAGCCGAGCCTTTGAAGTAAGATACCTATAAAGATGGACTAAACATGTATTATTGCAATGTTCTAAGATTTCTTACCTCGAAAACATTAGCGCCACCTTCACTAGCAGCGGAGATGATTTTTGGAGTATGTATTTCGACGAATCCACGCTCTCTCAAAGTGTCACGGAAGAGTTTACAAACTCCAGCTTGTATGGCAAAGATTGCTTGATTCGTTGTTGTCCGCAGATCAAGAACTCTAGAACGATAACCTCCACCAAATTTCGCATAAAAGAGAAAAAAAGAGGGACCATACCGATTATCAAGTCGTGTGTCAAGGTTAACTGCAGCCAATCCATCTGCACTATCGGTACGTCGGGTAGCATCTTCGATTTGCAGAGGCAAACGTGGTTCAGCCGACGACACGACGAACACCTTGAATGAGATAGAGAATGGTCATGGGTGGTAATCACGGCAAACTGATGCGAAGATAAAGCTTACTTGTATAGCATGAAGTTCAGCATCTTTCTGGGTGCACGATTCAATCTGTTCCTCAACCTTTTGGACTAGCCCTTGTACGTCGATGATCGATTCCTTAACATTTATCGTGTAAAACGCATACTGACCACTGACAGAGAGTCTCACCTTCGGAATATTAGAAACAAATTTCAACATCTGTTTACTAAGCTTGTCTCCCACAAAAAGCATCACCTATAACAGTGTAATTACACTACACAAGAGCTGTCCATCGATACTTACCTGGGCAGTGTAGAAACGTTGCCTAAGAACCAAAAAGCATGTTTTACCCTTCGTTCGAATGGTGTGTACTCGTCCTCTAACCCATACCTAAAGCATCGTGATATAAAATCAGCGGTTGGCAAGAGACTAATTTATGCCCTGTCCAAGATGCAACAAGCCAACCAAGTTAGGACTAATTGTAGAGTACTACGGGTAAAATTGCTTACAAAAACCTAGGCTCTGCTTCTAAAAAATGACGATAAAGTTCAAAGTGATACAGCAGGGAAAAAGCGGCTGTGATATGATGAGACGTGACCGTTATTCTACCAGTAAGATCCAACCATGAAAGTTCATTTTATGGTAAGTAGGTGACAGATTTTGCGAGGTATCTTAGTGCACAAAAAACTAAAACTTCGCTTCCAAACTCTTACTGGCTTGCATATGCCTCAGAATAATCAAAAATGTATGTTTTGGAACTTTTAGAGATTGTTGCTGTAATTATGAACTTATCATAAACTATCACCGCTCAAAAAAATTTCTTTCGATTGATACCCGTCTGTCACGTCATCAAAAAGGTGCTACTCAAAACTGTAATTTTCAAGTTGTCTGAAAAGATGCATAGCAAAAAACATGGTGAGATAA